TATTATATTATATTATATTATATTATATTATATTATATTATATTATATTATATTATATAATTTATATTTTATATTTTATTATATTATATGAAATTATATTATATTATATTTCACTAGTACAATATATTATGTTATATGATATTATATTATACTTTACTATTGTTTATTACTTTATATTATATTGTATTAATATATATTATATTATATTATATTATATAATATTATATTATATTATATTATATTATATTATATTATATTATATTATATTATATTATATTATATTATATTATATTATATTATTATATTATATTATTATATCATATTATATCATTTTATATTATGTTATATTATATTATATTATTATATTATATTATATTATATTATATTATATTATATTATATTATATTATATTATATTATATTATATTATATTATATTATATTATAGTGCACTATTTTGTGTTATTATCCTAAATTTGTACAACACACACACATAAAAGGAGTTGGGCCAAATTGCCAAGCAAGCAGAAAAAATGCTGGTTTCTTTAATTTCATTATTTTGATAAGCACCTGATTTCACAATGATGCCTCACATATTATGATACTGTGTGTGTATGTGTGTGTATGTGTGTGTGTGTGTGTGTGTGTGTGTGTGTGTGTGTGTGTGTGTGTGTGTAAGTGTGATTGAGAGATAGACAGGGGGAGATAGCGATCGATAGATAGAGAGAGAACGAGATAGATAGATAGATAGATAGATAGATAGATAGATAGATAGATAGATAGATAGATAGATAGATAGATAGAAAGATAGAAAGATATATATATATATATATATATATATATATATATATATATATATATATATATATATATATATATATATATATATATATAGAGAGAGAGAGAGAGAGAGAGAGAGAGAGAAAGAGAGAGAGAATATTTTTAGGAGGAGGCATATCATTAGACATTCAGAATTTGCATGTAGTTATTAAGTTGACGTACAGACAACGTGATATGCCCTCTACTTACATAAGAAGTTTTGATATATTTTGAACTCTCATTTAATTAGTGTGTTTTGTCAAAGGTTTATTCGATACTTCTATGTTTACCTTACGTTATACTGTGCCCTTTATAGAAATAAAACTTCAACAGTTTAAGACTTGTAAGCTCACGTTTCTGTGAAGCGGAAAACCATAATTTTAATGAAAACGTATTTTTGAACAAATGCACCAGTCAGTGGAGGCTGCTGTCATGAAATAAACTGTGTTATTCACGCTATTCTGTCTGTTATTTGAAATCACCATCAAGTGCCAGTTACTTGACAGACCTCGGCGATCACCGTTCTCCATTCATTCATTGGCCCGAACCCCCCCTCCCCCCACCCCCCCCCCAAAAAAAACCCAAACAACAACAAAAAAACGACATTACCTTGATCTGTCCCCATTCGCCATCACCCATCTCATAGACTCTTAAATAAATTGCTCTGGGTCTAACTCAAATTATTTGCAAACCCTGTTGTATTTCTCATAACAGGAGGCTTGAGGGCGCCTCTGGTAGGTGCGATACTTCTCCCCCCCCCCCAATCTCTAGTTTCGGACTGTTTCACTCTCCCCCAGAACTAAATTGCTGTTATTGAGTCGATGAGCTTCTGTTTACCTCTACAACACAATACCAAGAGCTATGGAGAAATATCCAGATTTAAAGAAAAAGTTAGTAAAAGTAAACTTCACAGGGAAACGATAACATTTTACTTGTAAGGACCGAGAAACATGACATGAGGCATCCTCTGCTCATGCATTCAGCACAGTTGGAAGCTATTGCAATTTGAAATGTGCCTTTAAAACAGGTATCGCAATTGAGAACACACCATTAAATCATTTATCACAATTGGAAGCACATCATAAAAAAAAAATCATCCCAGTTGGGAGCTAGTCTTTGAAAAAGCTATCTTAATTGGAAATATGCCACCTAGACATTTTTAAAAACAAAATTTAAGGTAACGAGCCACAAAAGCATTTATCACAAACGATCACAAGCGAGATCTGAAATACATGCTCTCCTTCCCATTTTCCGCGCTGTCGGAAACTCTGCAGTCTTACTGTCTGCATTTCTTCTCTGAACAGGGAAATAAAACTCTTCTAAGACGCATATTGTGTCACACTTTAAACTGGAAAAGAATTACTGAATTTACAAACACAAATTGAATAACAAAAAGCCCATAATGAACAAAAAAACAAAACAACAAAAACACAGAACAACAAAAACAAACCGCCCCCAAAAAAACAACTAACAACCCCCTTCCAAACAACAAAAACTAAACAAAACCAGCCCCCTCTACCCCCCCCCACTACAAACAAAACAACCCCCTCCCCCAGCGCCAAAAAAA